GTAATTAGTAGTAGTAATTAGTAGTAGTAATTAGTAGTAGTAATTAGTAGTAGTAGTAGTAGTAGTAGTGGTAGTAGTAGTAGTAGGTAGTAGTATTTAATAGTGGTAATTAGTAGTCGTAATTAGTAGTAGTAATTAGTAGTAGTAATTAGTAGTAGTAATTAGTAGTAGTAGTAGTAGGAGTAGTAATTAGTAGTAGTAATTAGTAGTGGTAATTAGTAGTGGTAATTAGTAGTAGTAATTAGTAGTAGCAATTAGTAGTAGTAGTAGTTGTTGTTGTTCTTGTTTTGTGAAATATCCGCGGTTACGTGATCTTGCGTGCAGTTACTGGCAGACACGTTGCGGAATCGAACTGTTGAACCAATCTTGTTGGAACAAAACCATTCCATCGGGAACAAACACACCCACAAGTTCCAAGGAGGGGTTCTAAACATGGTTTTGAACCCGCAAGTTCCATCCTGATGACCCGAGTAAAGGCTTCCAAAAATTAGAGTCCCCTTATATACAGGCTCACTTTGTTGCGGGTCTATAGGTGACCTCGAACTGGGGTATGACGTTTGCTCAGTTGGCTCCGAGCCAGGTATACTGGAGCCCCTGGAGCCCGTTCTGACACCCCGTCCGATTCGCACCCTGTGCACATCCTGAAACCCACTGAAGAGAAACGCGTCGACCCTGCTCCAGGCTGCTCTGACTCACCATCGAGCGCTGCGTTTGCACTCCCACGCGGGCATGGTTGACTCCTGAGCAGTCGCTTCGATTTCCTCGCATCAATGACACGTTTTGCTATATATTTCATATGTCTCATATAATTATACCGTATACCCAAACCAAAGGCTCATATATGTCTCATAAATATACCCAAAGGCTCCGGCTCATGGACCCAAACCAACTGCTACATGTTGCTTTGGTCCCAAACTCACTCACCCTCTAATTGGTGAGGGTCCAACTGGTCCCAGCCAACCTCGGCTGTGCTCCAGTCGGGCTCCGGACTCGTTTCGGTGTTTCGGTGGGACGGGCCGGGTGAGCCAGCCAGTCGGGTCCTGGACCAGTCATATCGAAGCGTTGCTCCTAGTGGTACATGCTCCTGTAGTAGCGATGCCCCTAGTAGCGATGCCCTTGCTCCTAGTAGCTTCTTGCTCCTAGTACTAGTAAGGCCAGGAGCCCCTAGTAGCGTCCTTGCTCCTAGTAGCGATGCCCTTGCTCCTAGTAGCTTCTTGCTCCTAGGAGCCCTATAGGAGTCATATGATTCCAACATTTCGATATACCCGGTTGGTGTGTGAGATGAACACTGCCGCTGCTACATCTCCTAGCCTAAGGCCCCTGGGGCCCCGCCTGGACCTTCGAGTCGGGACAGAGTCTTTTTCTGCTTCCTCAACGTCGATGAAGGTACAGAACAGCCGCAGCGCCATGGGAGAATTGGGGTCCGGACTCGTCTCTCAATCAGGGACGTTCCGCCCAAACTGGACAACTGAGCCACAAATCTTTGGCGCGCAGAGATTGTGGCACATCGATCGAAACCTGGATCCGGGCCGTGTTCCTTTTAGCCTCAGTGTGCCGTAAGGGGTGAAAAGCTAAGAAATCGTCGTACTGGCACCATAGCATAGTCATACTGGGGCCTCAAGACTCGTGACTTTGAAATCGACCCAATCGACCTGATCTAGTGATCTTCGAAGGCTAGCCGCTGATTTGCCGTCCCCGTCAGAGAGACAGTTTACCCTTCCCAAAGAATCCATGCATGTTGCTATTTACCTATACATTTGGGTGGTTTGAGGGATAGCAGTCGCAGTCGAATATGCTAGTCCCATGCTGTACTCTCAACGCCTTACATGAACACCAGGAGACCGAATGAACATCACCGCTGCCATCCACTTCCCGAAGCCCTTCCCTCCTGAGAACCCCACAGAAACATGGGCTTTTCAAGTATAATTGTTACCATTTGACTGAAGTTCGTCAAGACATCGCTCCATGAGCTCAGACCTGATGGCCCGGTTTGAGTTGGTCCTTGGTGCCCGCGCATGGCCACCGGAACACCTTGAGCGCGCGAGGCCACAGCGTCCAACCTCGGCGCCGTGGCGCTGGTGGTGAACGTGAAGAAAGGGATCGTATGGGAGGTGCTTGCGCTGGGTGAAAAAGAGTGCGTCCGCAGGTGTGTGTGACCAACCAAACACCCCAACACCTGCCCCACCCTCGCTGAAGTAGGCCTGTCGGTGCTGAAGTAGGTCTCGCGGCTCAAGGCCAGATAGACATACCTGGCCAAGTGGTCCAAGTGGTGTCTCTGGTGACCTGAACAACTTGGGATGCCGAGCTTGGCTCCACCCAGTATGTGCGACACGGCAAGGCGAGATCGTGCCACCGCAGAGGGTCGTCCAGTCTGTGATGGGACAGTGGAGGTGACCATGACCTGAAAGGCCGAGAGCTATAACACGTCCAATTGCGCACTTGAGTGCCAAATTGCGCACTGGACGAGCATGACGAGCACGTTTTGCTTTTCGTGCGAAGTCCCGTTTCACAACAAAAAAGCATTTATTATACAAAATATCAGACTGCACATGGAACAAAGAAACGTTTCTTCTGATCTTTGGGATTCATCATGGCGTACTCTATCCCTTTTAGCCAACGCAGCCAACCAAAAATGTGAGCCAAACACTTCTCCCACCCCATCCGAGACTTTCTCCGACCTGCTCGTTGGCCCCCTCCGCCCGCTCCGTCCACACCTGTTGATCCACACCATGGTCAAGGCCCATGCCACGTCCAAGGTGAAGACATACCAAGCGGAGCCACCATGGACAAACAAGCAAAAGGTGCTGGTTGTCATCATCACCACCTCGAAAAGAGCGAGCTCTTATAAAGTGAGCTTATAGCTAGCTCAATTCGGCTCCCCACCCCCGGCGGTTTTTTGGGCGATAAGAGAACATCGCTGACGCGTGTGAGATGTATGACCTGTGGTGTGTGGCGTGGCGAAATCATGGGGTGATTTTTGTTCAGGAAAAGCTCGCCATCAACGCTGTTTAGGGAATCCTTGTGGGAAACCTGATTTGACGCTGTTTGAAGGACTCCTTGTGGGAATCCTGATTGGATCCTTCAAAATTCAGTGCATCTTATGCCCTAGCTAGGGCTCCAAGTGCCTTCTGAGAAGGTCTGCGGGGTAGGTGTGGAGTGCCTAGGTATATACCTGCTGAAGTACTTGAAGTCCTACATCCTGCCCTAAGAATCCCTGCACTCTCCATGAGGGTCGGACCTTCTCCAGGGCGTCACGCCCTGGAAAGGAGGACCTTGCTGCCACCCCTTTCCATTCCAAGAGCCCCGGATTCAAGTGAACACAGCTGAGACCATATAACCAAACACCCTGAACTCAACCAGTCACTCCTCTGTGGGCTCCCGGACGATGGCGGCGTAGTCGTATTGGAGCCACCACTCCTTTTTCCGCGACGGCCGAGAGGCCGGGTCCGACTCGTCGCTTGGACTGGATGACTGGACTGGATCGATCACTCCGGATGACTGATGTCACTTTGCCCAAGAAAAGATGGTAGGTGTGCACATATATAGCGGACAATTCATGTATTGATGGCGTATAGTCAAGTTGGTGTGAAACATGAAAACAAATTCCATGAACTGCTGCGTGTTTGTTGCGCTGATGTGCAATGATGCATGAATGTTGGAGTGTTTCAACTTGGAGATACCCATGGCCCAAAGGACTTCAAGGCAGGGTCATGACATGTCATGAACACTGGCAACCGAAGTCTTGTCTGCTCCAGGTCCATATATGTCGAAACGCAACAAATGTTGCTCTCCACCCCAACCCAACACAAACCCACTATACCTGGACCCTCCAGTTCGTACCTGAGAAAATGGGACATGAACCTATATAAAAAAAGGTACTGTATTTTCTGAAGTACGAACTGAGACTCCAGGTAATTACTATAATCTTGGGTTCTCCTCCACGCACGTGCAACGGTGCCCACACCCTGCGAGGTCTGGAAAGACTCTCCTGCTGCGCGCCGGGAGTAAACGTGTTTTTTCCCACCGAACATGAATCGAATAGACTGCAGGGGAGGTGAATCGAATCCAGGGATGTTTCGGGGGTGAGATGACCCACCCAAATCACTGGTCCCATCTTTGGTTCTGCACCCTCACCGATACACGAAACACATCGAAACACAAACCAAACCCATCTCATGGAGACCTTTTGGATCGAAACAAATCGAACATCGAGATGTTTGCAGCACCCGCTGCACCCCCACCACCCCTGATCTGGACCAAGTGTCTGGTGGCTCCATGGCCTGCGAAGGGATGGAACATGATGATTTTTCTGCCATGAGTCATGCCCTAGGCCCCCAAGTACCTTCTGAGAAGGTGTTTGGGGTGGGTTTGGAGGGTCTAAACACCTTCTGAGGAGGAGGTGTAGGGATGAGGTGTTTCTGTTGTCTTAGTTTTGCTACATCTTGCAATGAAGGGGGAGCAGCTTGGCTCTGACGAAGAGTCGGTTGCACCAGACTTTGGCCTCCGGAAGATGGGCTGACGATGTGACCCTGGAAGAGGACACGGACCCAAAAAATTCTCAAGGTCGAACACCTTTACTTTATCAAATCAAGCAGGACCGCGTCCTCCAAATGGATTCAACAAATGACCAAAGATGGTTGCTCGCGAAGAAACCTCCATGAAAGCATGTCAAAGGGAATCAAACGGTCACGATGAACGCGATGGACAGCATAATCGATGAACAAAAATAACACATCGAATCGGTGTTACCAGTCAAGGACTGCTTCTTCGAAACCAGGTGACACGATTCTGTTTTTTCCATATCGTCTGACCGGCGAAGAAGAACGCACGACCTGAGTTCAGGAGCGAACGCTGAACGAAAGAATGTTCCAACAAAGGTTTTCTAGACCCCGAGTCGTTCGACTATCCGGTGACTATCCCAGCCGGGTACCCCAGGCATCTTGGTTATATCAGGTTCACTTATCAAACCTCATCCACCACTGCTTAGAGGGGGAGGGGGGTCAATTTCTTTTAGATGGTTTACCCCCTCTAAAAGGAAACTTTCTTGCATGCCGATGTCCCCGATCGCTTCTTCCATCCGTGGTTTCGCAAAAGACCGACAGTCCATGAACCCGGGGATCAAGTTCAGTCATGAACTAAGCCAAAGGCAGATGCACTAAAGTGACAATTTTGTTGCGTGACCAGTGCATTGAGGTGCGCGTGAAATGTTGGACAGGTCGGCCCTAATACGTTTGAGGTTCGTTTGAGTTCGTTTGGGTATCCAATCAAGGCCGCTGCGCTAGTTTTTGCCTTGAAGACCATGTTCCCAATGGATCCAAAATGCTCGCTCAGAAGGTATGTGGGGGACAGGACCATCCTCCCAGAAAGTTGCGACCCAACACCATTCTGCGCAAATGTTGGGGAACCCTAGATTGGTGGAGTTTTGACAGGGTGTGGATGCTTCCATCGTGGAGACCCCACAACAGCTCAACCTGGATAAATTCTAGTCCCATGCATTGAGAAACATGCAGCCTGGAGGGTGCTTGGGGATTACGCAGTATGCATTTGCGTATCTCCAGCCCCACCGCCCGCGCTTGGCTCATCAGCGCAGTGTTTCTACCACATGGTGGATCCAGCCGCTTGGCTTCACCACGCATCAGCATCGCGCTTGTTGACCAACCTTGGGTACTTGTGGTAAAAGCAGCGTTGGAGAGTTGAAGTTTATGACCCAACAGCCAAGGGCAAGATAGAACAAGTACCATGATTGGAGGGCAAAGGGGACAGCAATCTCAAAGCCGGGTTAATCATGAAAAGGCAAGCCACACAGTGAACCATCGAATCAGGCCGATGTGTTCAGGTGAAGTGCATAGGAACTTGCACAAACTTCCTTTACCTGGCCGATGAAGTCTTCACTTGCGAAGCCATGGTAGTATCGGCAGTTGTAGCCTGAGCTGGCTAACCGATTCTTAGCTGGCTGTAGGCGATTGAAACCAACACATCGGGGATTCTTGCAACAGAGTTCCACTCAAGCTGGGGTTCTAGTTTTGGGCCCGACCTGAAAAGGTCTTGCACTTAACAAGAAAAACCTAAACCAGCAGACTAACACTCATTTTTCAGAGATACCGAAACAAACCACCACCAGAACCAAACATTGCAAATGCACCAAGAAACGTTCTTTTTGCTGCGTGTTTGCCATCTCTTGGAACGCCTAACGACTGTTGAGTCAACATCAATTGCCCTGTAGAAAGCTGGGACTACTTGGGTGTTGAACACGAGTCATGAAAAAGGTTGCTCAACTCCAACTAGTGGCATGGAACTTCGGCCGTGCAGGCCAAAGGAGCTGCCCAGCACCCAAGGCTTCCACGGCCAAGTCGATATAGTTTCCCATGCACTGAACCCGCGACTATAAGGCACTCCCCACTTTCCAGCTTAAGCTAAGTAACATCCAAGCGCAAGTTTGGGCAGTAGAAGAAAAGAGAAAGAGATAGATGAATCAATCCAAAGCACACAGCGCTGAACCATTGCAGCTGCAGAGCTTGCACAGAGGCAGGCCCTCACCCTCTGAAGTGGCGTGGAAATTGGCGACCGCAGACCCTGGATATGGCAAAGAGCCGACTTGACCAGCTGATACGGCTGATGAGGCCATAAAAAGTCAGAAAAAGCCCAAGTCCAAGCAGGACAAGATCAAGAAAACACTCCACCTACCATGCAGTGGAGGAACTCGCGCAACTTGCATGCTGATTCGCATGGCTGCGTATTGGGAGTGTGACGCGGCATATGCCACCAAACAATTTGCAGCACAGTGTGGGCTGTCGACATGAGCCTGTGGATGATACTGCGCATCAGTTTGCGCCGAGTAGCTCGTCGAATACTATGTTTCACACCCCTGACCTTGCGCAGCGAATGATGCCACTTGTGAAGTCGCCAGCGGGAAGCCTGCCTTGGATACTATATTCACCAGGTGCCCCTGGTCTAGTGGTGGGAATACGTCGGGGATCCTTGCAAACATGTTCCGCCACCCATTTA